ATTTTAGTCTGCCGTGCCCTTTTTGTACTAATGTATACACGGGACTGATGCAGTGACAGTATGTCAGTGAAGCCAGTGCAAGGGCTAAAATTGTTCCCAAAGTGACAGCCCATGGACCTACATCTCCAGTGACTGGAAAATGCCCTTTCTCTTGCATTAAGGTCGTGAGTAACAAGCCTGCCTCTGCTTGTCTGAGCTTTCCTGAGGCAGAGACTGTTTGTGTAGGTGGTGTCCTCTCCCCCTGCATGGCCTGCAGGATGAGTCCTCATTTCACTCCTAAGAAAGACGCACACAGAGCTATGGGATGAAGAGTCATGAGCAATATGAAGTAAGGGCGAGTCACCTCTATTTGAACTGGCTGCATGCTGTGATTTATTTAGCATATAGATGTTTGCATGTGCCTGAGAACTGGATTCTTGTTAGATATGTGTTTTATACAGTACCAGGTACACATTTCATGTACCCAAGCACGCCTTCACCTAACCTTTTTTTCCTGGTCTAGTTAACAATCAACTTCAGGATTTCCCTCATTTGACCTCTCTGTCTGTAACTCAGCTGTGGTCCTAGCAGCAGCTGTACCGTCATTTGTTGCTTAGACATGGGCAGAGGTGCTTGCTGTTTCTGGCACAGATGTACGACCCATGGGCCATCTGAAGAAGGCGACTGTGCTGCCTCCAGCACACAGGCCCTTTCCTTAACAGTAGCTGCACACAGTGTTCCCAGTTTTGGGAAGCAACTGCTTTCCACCACCCAAGGCACGTGAACTTCTGGTGCCATCCCAGGTAATATGTTTCACACAACTGATGTAGGTTCAGCTGATCTCAGAGACTTACATGCCACTTTAAAGACGGTCTCTTTGCCACCCCCAATGTGGGCTGGATGTGTCCCCGCACTAAAAAGCATGACTTCAGTTTTTTTCAGAGGCAATGATAGAGTTTTGTCTTTCCTCTTGATGTTTCTCTGCCAACTCTGGCTGGAGAAAAATGTGGTGAGATGCCACAGCTGAAATGTGGGATGCCATAGCCAATTGTCTGCAGACACCGTGTCCACTGGGACCAAAGCACACAGCACTTGGCTGAACTTTGTGTGTCCAGCTCTCTGGGCTTCAGTTTCCATGTTTCAGCTGAGGGCTGAGTGAAGTATGTCTGCGTACACTCACTGACCACCACAGGATGAGCCCAACCGTGTACACCCTGCAACTGGGAGCAGGTCCCTTTGGGCCACTGATGGGGCAGTCACACTGGAAACATGCCTCTGGCACTTACTGATCCCATCACTGGCAGTTTCAGAAAAGGATCCTTGAGCCAAGGAGCCTGAGCTCTTAGAAGTGGTCAGACTGGTGGAGGAAGTTTAAGCAGGCCCTATGGGCTGCTGAAATAGGCTCCAAAGTTGTCGGTCTTGCCCTGTTTGTCAGCACCATGTTCTCCTGCAGCACAAAAAACAGGACACAGGAAGCACCAACACAAGGTGGGAGAATCAAGACCTCAATCGAATGTACTAATAATACTTAGCACTGTACATCACTGTACTGTTACTTACAAACATTAACTAATACATCCTCACAACACCCCTGCGAGGTAGGGAAGTATTATTATCCCCAGTATACAGATGGGGAAACCGAGGCACAGAGAGGCTAAGTGACTTGCCCAGGATCACACAGCAAGGCACTGGCAGAGCCAAGATAAGAACGGAGATGTCCCTTGTTCCCCACCCCATGCTGCCCCCCATTAGAAAATGTTGCCTGTCTGGACACGGGGAACCCAAGAGGTCCCTTCGAAAAGCAATGCCTGGACTTGTTGCCTATTAATAATTTTTATTTGCCTTTAATGAATTATTTCACAGTTTTTCCCTCACACTGTACACCACGCTTTCACAGTCCGTTCAGCGTCCTGTGGTAGCCCACAGCCTTCTCCTCCGGCACTGGGACAGCTCTGCAGGGGATTCATAGGGTGCTCTGTGCTTTCATTAAGAGGATGTTTAGAAACAGTTTTCACTGGCATTAGATTGGGAGCATGTGAGCTCTCACTGGAAACTGATAACACACACTGGAGAAGCAGGCAGAGAGAACTGATGGTTAAAAGGCATTTGCTACCCCCTGTGAAATAACCAGCATCTCTCTGGTTTCTTAGCTCTTCCAAGCTTCAGTGATCTCTCAGAGCAGAAAGTGTTTCCAACTTGCCTGGTCAGGGAAGTTGTCGTTCTGGGGGTTGCTTCCCTAAGGGTAATAGGGAGTTAGCTCAGGACCAGAAAGGTCCCCCAGCATTGCCTACTCCAGATGTGTGACACTGTCTTGGAACAAGGCTGGCTGTAGCCGTTGTGCTCTCCTGCCAGGGGGAAGGGGTATTACCATGGCTGGCAAGCAGCCACATCCAGCGTCTCTTTTTTTGAAAACTGGGATTCAATGAAGAGCAAGGGAGAGTGGATGGATGGGGAGATGAGGATGAGGCAGAGCGAACAGGAAAATCCACCAAATAGGCTTCTAGGAAGGAAATGTTCCCCCCTCGGGCACTTCAGCTGAAGTAGCTTCATTTTCACAAGGCTTCTTTCTCTCTCTGGGAACATCTGCTGAGCTTCATCTCTGTCAGCTGGATATATCGTATGACATTGGTATCTGCAGGGAGAGAGCACACAGATACACATACGGTGGTCACAACTCCCTGCGAGAGACAGACACCCCGCACCTCCACCCTTGGTGTATCACCTGGGGACCAACGTGGGTCCAGTGCTGCCTGCAGGAACAGCACCAGTTGGAAAGGGCTCTCCACCAAACCCAGCTGCTTTGGGCTTGGAGAACCTGGACTGATTTGTGCTCACCATCCCTGTTGTTCATGATCTTGCCTCAGACAGGTTTTACCTTCTTTCTGACTACTCTTGGTCAGCACAGTTGAAACTGTCCAGGTCATCCTTACCTGTTCTGGTGGAATGGCACCTCCACGGGCTTCCTCTCCCTCAGTGTGTGCATGCAAAACCCCTAAAGGCATCTGGCATAGAGTTACACTCTGCCTTTCACCCTCCTATTCCTCATACAGCCTCCTTCACGCTTCTCACAGTTTTCCAAGAGTTGAATTGGGAAGAGCATCCTTCACATTCTCTTTGTACCCTTGCTTTCCTTAAATTTAGTATCTGGAAGTCCTTCCACCATCACACTCATCTGCATTTTTGTCGTGCGTGGTATGCTGCATACTGCCTTCTCTGCCCTGTCTAATGAAGTTGCTAGGGGCAGAGAACCACTGCTTCATCCCTCTAGAGAGCTGTGAGATCACAGCACTGTGCAGGTGGTAAGCTGGGCCCTCTTTTTCCCTCCAGTATTTCAGTGCACAGCACAGAACATGGGAGTTTTGTTTTACCTCCTTGCCTCAGCAATGAGGGAACCTGTTCGCCCTGAAGCACAGGTTGATCTAAATGAGTATGTCTCCAGACAGACCCCATGATTCTGCAGTCATGGTCAATCCTCTCTCAAATCATGTTGATTTTCTATCATGTGGGTGACTTCCTGCACACATGGCACCCACAGAGTGGCAAAAGCCACTCGGTATCAGACGCAAGCAAGCAAGCAAAAAAATAGCTACATTCACTTATGTATTGACTGAAATATGGTTCTTTGCTCACAGCCTTACTCAGATGGCCACCCAGGGCCAGCACAGTCCATTTAAGTTACTAGATCCTCAGAAACCAATCTCAAGTGCACTGCAGTCCGCAGTCAGAGGGCAATCCTGTCTCCTCCTCATCCAAACAGCAATATGTGCCCCACACCAGCTAAGGAAATGAGAAGTGCTTGAGCTTTCAAAGAGATCAACAAATTACTGGTAACGCATCCAGCACCAGCAAGGGTGGGTTTTTCACCCACCAAAGCAGTTGTGGGTGCAAAGTCTCCTTTAGACATGAAACGGGGACATCTCTGTGGTGCCCTCAGCCAAAGCTGAGATGGTTTGCCTTCATGGAGGGCCCTCCACAAACATGCCATGGGGTAGCAGTGGGTGGAGGAAATGCGGTTGTGGCTTCTCAAGCTGTCTCTAGTGAGGTGTGTCTCCCTACTGAGTCTTCTGCATGTTCATCTGCATCATCCTAGTCAGTCCGGAGGGTGGGATTCAGTGATTACTTGTCCCGTTTCGGACAGTCTTAGTGAGCCAAGAAGTTTTGCTGTTGCTTGTGTTAGACAATGTGCACCAGCGTCCTGGGCTGCTCATGCATTAACATTTCATACCAGCACAGCAAATTTTAAAGCAGCTTTTTAAAAAACAGAATTGTTTCCAGTTGCGCAGCCTCCCAGAGTGAAGAAATTCAGTTGAGGGGATAGCCCTGGATTTTAGGCCTAAAATAAAATCAGCGCACGTGGCACAGCACAGGTGGCTAACTAATGCCCAGCAGCGTAAAGGCAGGACTCTGAGCTGTCCTGCCTGCACCCCCCCAAACCCCTTCTGCTCTGGGCTCTGATGGGCTCCCTCCTGGGTAAGCGTCCTGGCTGCAAAGGCTCACGCTGCGCACGCCTGCCCGGTGCCGGTGACAGCTGCGTGTCAGGAAGTCACCCTGCCTGGGCCTGGAGGGACTTGACGCCTGGCTGAGGGGGCAGAGGTAGGGTCAGTGCATAATTGGGCAGTGGAAGTTTCCCAGCTCCCTGTTGCTTGCAGGTAAGGTAGTTGGCTGTTCATGGCACAGCTCCACTCACCTGTGCAATTTCCACACGCCTTGGAAGCAAAATAAGGTGTAGCCTGATAGAGGGCAGGAGATACTCCCATTGCGAGCTAGTTATAAATCTCCCAGGTGGGTTTTGGCATGTTTTGCTTCCTTTTTGAAGGCCTCTACCTTGCCAAGGACAAACAATGAGAGCAGTGCTCTGTTTACAGAAGAAGTAGAGCCTCGTCTTCATCAGGTCTTTTCCATTGAATAGTATTGCACCGTACTAGCTCTGCCTGCAGAAGTATTTCAAAGCTAAATATGTTAATGAATCATAGAATCACAGAACGGTTTGGGTTGGAAGGGACATTAAGGACCATCTAGTTCCAACCCCCCTGCCATGGGCAGGGACACGTTCCACTAGACCAGGTTGCTCAAAGCCTCATCCAGCCTGGCCTTGAACACTTCCAGGGATGGGGCAAGTGAAGAGAAGACCCATCTCTCCGTGAGGCAGAAGCGATCCCCTTCTGCTGATGTGGGAATAGCAGATGAGAACAGCTCAGGTAAGATGTCAGACCCATACAAAGAGATGCTGGCAAAGCTGCAATGGGACAGGTCTCCTGGCTCTTACGACCATGCCTGTGTCCTTTTCCAGCGTGACTTCCTACCATTTTAAAGGTACTTTCTGCTTCTCCTTGTAGGTTCAGAGCCCTGTTGCTTATCTGCTGTGCAGCCACCGTGACCTGGCTTTTGCTCCCATGACTTGTGAGTCGTTCAGGAGGGCAGCTCCTGAGCTCAGCTGTAAGCCTGCTCCATGCAGCACGGGAAACCCGGCTCGTACGCACACCCCGCATGATGTCCGAACGTGAGCTTTCGGCACAGGGCCAGCTGATGGTCTGGTCTCAATCCCAGCCAGCACCTACCTCAAGGATGTGGTCCCAGCTCAGGGAA